TTAGTCAGCTTGCTGTGGGGTTGCATCCTGGGCGGGGCCAGGAATTCGACCTTTGACCCCCCTCGATAAAAGCCTAACGTACATACACTCTGGCTTCCTGTCCCCCCGACACAATGAATTATAATTATTATTATTATGCTATACTGAACTATATTGTGCTAAACATTCTAGTGTCGTATTCTTCTATTTCTAATTCTAAAAAAATATATATGAACCGAACTTATAATCCTAATTCTAATTCTATTATTCGGGCTTCACCTTCCAGTTCTGAGGCTTCGAGCTTTTCCCGTGCCCGATGGGACCCAAGTTGGGCATACGACTTTGATTCAAAGTTGAAGCGATGTCGATAACGCCAGCTTAGACACCAACCCATTATAATGTCAAGTCTGATTTCACCTGTTAATGATTAAGGTCAAGCTTAACCCAATTACAATACGACAACTCAAACTTCAACTCATTAACATTGGCTCAGACTTGACCCATTAACGTCAGCTTAGGCTTCACCCCATTATCAACGACTGAGAATTCACCCCATTAACCACGACTGAGAATTCCCCCCATTAACCACGACTGAGAATTCACCCCATTAACCCCGACTGAGAATTCACCCCATTAACGACCACTGTTAACAGCGATAATTACACCCGAAACCCATCCAGAAGGAACGCTGAGGTTAACATCACATTCATTTAAGACTTTGCCAATAATTCGAGTTCGGAGGAATGTTGGTTTGTTTTGTTACTTCTCAACTTTATGTTCCAAATTGGATGTAATCTAACTTCTCATAGTGGATGTAATCTAACTTCTCATAGTGGATGTATTCTAACTTCTCATAGTGGATGTAATCTAACTTCTCATAGTGGATGTAATCTAACTTCTCATAGTGGATGTAATCTAACTTCTCATAGTGGATGTATCTAACTTCTCATAGTGGATGTATCTAACTTCTCATAGTGGATGTATCTAACTTCTCATAGTGGATGTATTCTAACTTCTCATAGTGGATGTAATCTAACTTCTCATAGTGGATGTAATCTAACTTCTCATAGTGGATGTAATCTAACTTCTCATAGTGGATGTATTCTAACTTCTCATAGTGGATGTAATCTAACTTCTCATAGTGGATGTAATCTAACTTCTCATAGTGGATGTATTCTAACTTCTCATAGTGGATGTAATCTAACTTCTCATAGTGGATGTATTCTAACTTCTCATAGTGGATGTAATCTAACTTCTCATAGTGGATGTAATCTAACTTCTCATAGTGGATGTAATCTAACTTCTCATAGTGGATGTATTCTAACTTCTCATAGTGGATGTAATCTAACTTCTCATAGTGGATGTAATCTAACTTCTCATAGTGGATGTATTCTAACTTCTCATAGTGGATGTATTCTAACTTCTCATAGTGGATGTATTCTAACTTCTCATAGTGGATGTATTCTAACTTCTCATAGTGGATGTATTCTAACTTCTCATAGTGGATGTATTCTAACTTCTCATAGTGGATGTATTCTAACTTCTCATAGTGGATGTAATCTAACTTCTCACAGCGGATGTATTCTAACTTCTCATAGTTACGTTCATTTAGAGAGTGTTTACAAGTGTGAAAGTGTGAAAAGTTTACAAGTGTGTGAAAGGTGTGGTTGGAAGTGAACGAAACACAGTTCGATTCATTATTTCGAACATGGTTAAAGTTATATAAAATAAAATAATAAAATCGCTGACGTTATTATGTCAGTATATTACAAATAAGTTACTGTTGTTTAAGATTCGCTACTTGGAACACAAAGTTCCAAGTAGCACGGGCTATGGTGAGCCCGTAGTGGACTTATTTGACCAATACGTTGTGAACCCAACGGCCATTTATTATGATGATCGTGCTGGCCTTCCCATAAAAAAAGAAAAAAAAAAAACCCGACTGGGAACGTGACTCGTGGCGATGGTCGAAGTAATTAATTAGATTTATTGCCACCATTGGCTGACATATTTGTTTCCAATACTCTTCATTACCGCGGAAATAACGACAGAGGTCCAAGCGGTCAGCCACCCCCCCCCCATCACCAGTGTGGCAAATGCGTGAAACAGTTACATCCAAAGCCAAAGTTCCACGGCATACATATTGTATGTCAGCCGATGGTTGCAATAAATCTAATTACATGTAAAAATTACTTTTATTAATTACTTTCCACACCTTTCACACACTTGTAAACCTTTCACACACTTGTAAACCTTTCACACACTTGTAAACCTTTCACACACTTGTAAACCTTTCACACACTTGTAAACCTTTCACACACTTGTAAACCTTTCACGCTTGTAAACACTCTCTAAATTAACATAACTGTACTGTCTAGCCTAACCTAAGCCTACCAACGCAAGACGTCTACGTCATATAATAATATTATTTAATATTAGAACAAACTCAATTCTTTATTTCTACTTTCATCCTGCAGTCAGTGATCAGAGGCTTTAGTAAGGTACTAAAGCAACAACATTGTCCATTGACTACCAGGACAACACACAGAAATCACAATAGCGTGATGCATCAATGAACAAAACTGTAAAATCCTGGTTTTTTGTCTCGGAGAGGCTTCAGGATCCAAGTAAATTCAGTTGAATTTCTGGTTGCAATTCTTATACCATGTCGTAGCTCAGTTGATTAAGGCAGCGTCTGGGATGCTCTCGGACGCAGGTTCGAATCCTCGTCACGGCCCTTGTGGATTTGTTCACTACCAAGGACAGACTCAAGATGCAGCTTGAGTGTGGTGCTCGCACACAGCGTTCATTCAAGGTGTCTTGTAGAGCATCTAACGGCAAGAGAAGAGCAAATTCGAGCATCAGAGGCGAAGATAAGTCCACCTTCATGTACAGGACTTAGGTAGTGGTCTTTTTTGTTTTGGTAGGGAAGCGAGTCTTATTTTCCTCGGCGTCGCCCCTTTTATATAGGAACCATCGGAAATGCATCCGAGGTGCCGTGTGGCTTGTCGCCGCCTCCATGTACAATTACATTAGAACTATCAGTGTCCTGTTTAAATATCCTAAGCAAAATGATATATTATTAGATTTTTGTCTATTATTAGGCTTTTTGGCTATTATTATTAGTGAGTCATTAGCTTTTAGCTTAGACTAGCGAAGTCGATAGACAACGAAGACTTGGAACTACAGGCGAGACTGACGCAAGCGCGTACAACCATGTCGTTCGTTCAAGGCTCGTTGAGAGTGTATCCCTTTCCGATAACAGGCTGTTGACTCTGTTATGGCGGCGATAGCAAGATAGAGAGAGGTGATGAGGTTCGGGTGGTAGTGGGGAGGGTGGAGAGGAGGGGGGTGGAGGGGGGAGAGGAGGGGGAGGAGTGGGAAGGGGGGGTAGGCAGGTTGTATCGGGCCAAACAAGTGCGTCGATAAAGCGTAGAAGCACCGCCTAGGGGAATCCTGGAGACGAAGCAGGCTCTCATCCGGTACCCAGTTTCCAAAATTGGGCGTCTCACTCTGCTGCCTCGCCTGGATTGCCTCGTTGCTGCCTAATTATCTTTGGGGGGAAAGCACTTACGTGGTTAAAGTCTTCAGCCGCTGTCGAGCTGGTTCGGTAAGCCGTGGAAGGGACTGGTATTGTGCGGGTAACGATGCTGACAACAACGGGAGAGTTTGCGTTAAGTTATTGAAGGGTTTGTCGGAGGAGGGAGATTGGGATCGGCAGGTGGTGGAGGAAAGTGTTGCTGTAGCGAGGCACACACACACACACTCATCACCTCCGGTCCAGTACCGTCCACGGCACTGGACCGAAGCCGTCCACGGCACTGGACCGGAGCCGTCTACGGCACTGGACCTTAGCCGTCCACGGCACTGGACCGGAGCCGTCCATGGCACTGGACCGGAGCCGTCCATGGCACTGGACCGGAGCCGTCCACGGCACTGGACCGGAGCCGTCCACGGCACTGGACCGGAGTCGTCCACGGCAGTGGACCGGCGCCGTCTACGGCACTGGACCGGCGCCGTCTACGGCACTGGACCGGCGCCATCCACGGCACTGGACGGCTCTGGTCCAATATAAACACCGTCCAGAAGTGTTTACAATACACGGTCTGTCGACCACGGAACAGCTAAGGCTAATCAAGACAAGTTACTGAAGAACACAACGACACGAGGTGAGATGACTTGGGACCTGCCGTTATCCAGCCATACCTCCGGTTAAAACACTAACTTACTAATACGTCAGTAAGACTTCCACAGTAGGTAATCAACTGACAAAATAAATCTTGCCTTCGTTATACAAATAAACAGAAATATACTATTGTATATTATGGGGTTTATGTATAGCTATGTCTATGAAAAGTTAGGTGAGGTGTTTTGGTTAGAGTGATTTCGGAGATGTTTACAGTACAGCCTGGAAATGAACGATGCAGGTTTCGAGTCAATGATTCGAACACGGTTTGGGGGAGCATTTGGGGCGAACATTTGGGGTGTCGGTCGGCATAGCGGATAGCACGCTGGACTTGTGATCCTGTGGTCCTGGGTTCGATCCCAGGTGCCGGCGAGAAACAATGGGCAGAGTTTCTTTCACCCTATGCCCCTGTTACCTAGCAGTAAAATAGGTACCTGGTGTTAGTCAGCTGTCACGGGCTGCTTCCTGGGGGTGGAGGCCTGGTCGAGGACCGGGCCGCGGGGACACTAAAGCCCCGAAATCATCTCAAGATAAACTCTCAAAAAGATGGTCGCGTGGGTTACAGCTCAAATTCTGACCTGTGTAAAGTCTTAGAGATTATTATTGGCCTTATACGCTGTGAACCCGACACCCTTTTAGTTTTTATGATGGACTTGATTTGCAAGGTAAAGTGCCAAAAGTCTAACAAATCCCATCTTTATTTATCTCGTCCCGTCTCATTTTCGTTAATCGCACAAGACAATACTACTCGTTTACTGATCAATAACATATTACACATAAATGTGTAAATATCAACACGTTACAAATCCCAGAGCACCATTTAACTCCGTCTGAAATGCCGAGTGCTGAAGCATCCCCCAAATACCATCCAGGAGGGCAATACGAGACCAAAACCACACCAAATGGAGGAGGCGTAGTTATAAGAGATGGCGTAGTTATAACCTTCACCGAGAGGAGTGACTCAAGTCTTATAACTCAAAGGCACACTGAGAAAGCACAAATTCCCATCATCCTGACAATAACCTTGCAACAGAGTGCTAAGTAATGGTATTAACTCACATTTGCTCCTATTTTCATAGAACTGTATTTAAACAGGAAGAAAACTGCAAAGACTTGACACGAAATTCAAAGTAATGTGAGGTAGGCATCGTCCTTCAAAGATGGTGAGCTGGAGAGTGAGCAGGAGGGTGGGTTTGAGGGTGAGCTGGAGGGTGGGTTTGAGGGTGAGCTGGCGGGTGGGTTTGAGGGTGAGCTGGAGGGTGGGTTTGAGGGTGAGCTGGAGGGTGGGTTTGAGGGTGAGCTGGAGGGTGAGTTTGAGGGTGAGCTGGAGGGTGGGTTTGAGGGTGAGCTGGCGGGTGGGTTTGAGGGTGAGCTGGAGGGTGGGTTTGAGGGTGAGCTGGAGGGTGGGTTTGAGGGTGAGCTGGAGGGTGGGTTTGAGGGTGAGCTGGAGGGTGAGTTGGAGGGTGGGTTGGAGGGTGGGTTGGAGGGTGGGTTTGAGGGTGAGTTGGAGGGTGGGCTGGAGGGTGAGTTGGAGGGTGAGCTGGAGGGTGAGTTGGAGGGTGGGTTGGAGGGTGAGTTGGAGGGTGAGCTGGAGGGTGAGTTGGAGGTGGGTTTGAGGGTGAGCTGGAGGGTGAGTTGGAGGGTGGGTTGGAGGGTGGGTTGGAGGGTGGGTTTGAGGGTGAGTTGGAGGGTGGGCTGGAGGGTGAGTTGGAGGGTGAGCTGGAGGGTGAGTTGGAGGGTGGGTTGGAGGGTGAGTGGAGGGTGAGCTGGAGGGTGGGTTGGAGGTGGGTTGGAGGGTGGGTTGGGGGGTGGGTTTGAGGGTGGGGTGAAGGGTGGGCAAGAAGCCTCTAGCAAGATGGAAACTAAAGACGCAAATGAGTCCTTAATACATCAGGAAGAACTTTTTTCAGAGTTAGAACTGTTGATAAATAGTAAAGTTTAGATGCAGAAGTCGATGAAGCTAATTCGATTCAGAATTTTAAATGTAAATATGATAAAAGAGGGGAAAAGGAGTTATTGAATTAATCTAAGAATATTCGGAAGGCAAATTCCTTGCCACTGTCATCACTACCACCGCTACCACCACTACCACCGCTACCACCACTACCACCACTACCACCACTACCACCGCTACCACCACTACCACCACCGGCGCCACTACCACCACCACTACCACCACTGCCTAGCACTACCTAGTTCGACCCCTGCAAGCATATCTAGGTGAGTACACAGGCTGCAATTGAGAGAGAGAGAGAGAGAGAGAGAGAGAGAGAGAGAGAGAGAGAGAGAGAGAGAGAGAGTGTGTGTGTGTGTGAGAGACAGACAGACAGACAGACAGACAGACAGCAGATCAAGCTAGCTATGAGATCAATACCAACTAGCAACCAAGGGTGAGTGAGTTATGACAGGGAAGTAATTATACGTAAACGGCGCCAAACTCACATATGAGGTGACACAGAGGATGAGAGAGAGAGAGAGAGAGAGAGAGAGAGAGAGAGAGAGAGAGAGAGAGAGAGAGAGAGAGAGAGAGAGAGAGAGAGAGAGAGAGAGAGATGGGCAGAGAGAGAGGAGAGAGAGAGAGAGAGAGAGAGAGAAGAGAGAGAGAGAGAGAGAGAGAGAGAGAGAGAGAGAGAGAGAGAGAGAGAGAGAGAGAGAGAGAGAGAGAGAGAGAGAGATGGGCAGAGAGTCTGATTGACACCCCCGAGTGCCGGGAACCTGGCACCTGTTGGTCGACTCATTACATGGTAGAGAGTGTAGGTAATTGTAGCTGCACTTTAGCATATCTCTGTTCAATTCAGGAATACATGTTATATTGTGTTGTATACATACTAGTGGGTACATTTAGCACGTATGTGTACAATGCTTATATTAAAGAGTATAGGTAGACATATACGTGTGTGTGTGTGTGTGTGTGTGTGTGTGTGTGTGTGTGTGTGTGTGTGTGTGTGTGTGTGTGTGCATTGTACCATAGCTGTGTACAGTGCACACAACACTTAGCATGTATGTGCACAATGCATCATATGTACATTATAGTGTATGTACGTGTGTATGTGTACAACTGGTGCTTATACCTTTACCTGTCACATGTGAGAAGGCGCAACGGTTACTTTGTATAGGAGGAACACCACTTTGTATGAGTATTAACAGGTCGTTCATGATACGGAAAAAAAAGCAAAATAGTATGAAGTCAACCTGTCCTCTTGTCCTCAACACACTGGAGCTGGACGGTAGAGCGACGGTCTCGGTTCATGTAGGTCGGCGTTCAATCCTCGACTGTCCAGCTGATTGGGCACTCTTCCTTCAACCCCCCCCTCCCCGTCCCATCCCAAATCCCTATCCTGATCCCTTCCACGTGCTAAATAGTCGTGAGAACCTGTCCTCACACTTAAAGCCCCACAATTCTGATGCTATCGCTCACAGCATAAAAAATAAAGGGGTTTAAGCCGATTTAAAACTACATTGATATCGACGTTTCCAAATACTTGCTTGTGTAGATAGGTAGGCGAGTTTCGAATGATTCTAATAACATAAAACCACTTCGAATTTGACGCTTGTCAAGTCATGAGAACAGAATTGGGGTTCCTCTGTGACATGTGAAGCTGGTTTCTTCAATAATTCAACCCGTCTATTCCTTAAAAATAATAAAGTATGATTCAGAAACTCGCAGATGATTCAGGACTTTGTCGAGTCTTATGCCTTAGGCAGATTAGAAACCTGAATCATTTCAATAGCTACATTTAATAAAACTTATACAAATTTCTGCCTATCTTCAGAGGCCTAATAATACAAAATAAAAACATAAAAATTGTAATCTGTCAGGTTCTAAAAAAATAAATCTAAATTACAAACTAAAATATGACTAGCAAACAACTGAATAAAAGAAAAGCGAAAGACAACAACAAAAAAACTCAAAAAAAGAAAATAAGTCCTCAAGTTAAAAATAAAAAATAAATATGAAACGTCGAAGCGTTTTGTTAGGACCGACCTATACTAAATAGCTTCTGGAGTCCACACAGTGTACCAGCGACCTGCAGTGTCCTGCCTGATGGCAGTATGTACGAGATGCCGAATTGTGATGAATGGGTGATAGGCACAAATAAATCTGATGGCTGGGTGATAAGGACAGATAAATCTGATGGCTGGGTGATAAGGACAAATAAATCTGATGGTTGGGTGATAGGCACAGATAAATCTGATGGCTGGGTGATAAGCACAGGTAAATCTGATGGCTGGGTGATAAGCACAGGTAAATCTGATGGCTGGGTGATAGGCACAGATAAATCTGATGGCTGGGTGATAGGCACAGATAAATCTGATGGCTGGGTGATAGGCACAGGTAAATCTGATGGCTGGGTGATAAGCACAGGTAAATCTGATGGCTGGGTGACAGATCCTCGTAAATTTACTACCAGCAGAAAACGAAAGCAAATATCTATTATCCTCCAGTTTGAACCTAAACTTTCGAATGTTATCTTTGGAAATAACAATTTTGATACTAATTTGGTGATATAGTCCACGAGGCGCACCACTCCTGCAGAAAATTTCAATTATCTGAAATTATTTGACATTTGAAAGGTGATAATTAGAACCAATAATTGGTTCTAGATCTGCTAAAGCAAAACTAACAAGCCGAATGATGATTTCTTTAAGAACAAATTGTGATTTTTTAACAGCGAATGATGTTTTTCTAATAAGAATAATGATTTGTTAAGAATGATGACTTGTTAAGAATGATGATTTGCTAAAAATGATGATTTTTAACAATGATTGATGACTTTTTAACATGGAATGATGATTTTTTAAGAAGATTCATGATTTTTAATAAGAATGATGATTATTTCTAAACGAATGATGATTTTTTTATGCAAAAACATTGTTTTAATTTAGCTGTAGATAAATGGACGTTTTAAAAGCACTTTCCCACTCTGCATAGTTCATATTTACGAGTCAATCATTTAGCATTTGTTCACAATTTTTAAAGTTCAATATTGAGATAAAACGCACAATGAATTTACTATTTTCTATAGTTTTCCGATAAAATTTTAGAAAACGTATATAAACAGCACCTGAAAATATATATATATATATATATATATATATATATATATATATATATATATATATATATATATATATATATTAGTATATTTTGGTAGCAGTCTTTCCTGTAGACATATATTATTAAATATGACCGAAAAAGTAAGATTAATAATTCTAACACGAATTTTCTCAATCTTTCGTACATTTCTTTTCACTGTTGGAGGTAAATCAAAAATCAATTCTCCAAAATTCATTTTTATTTCTAGTCTGACGCGACACGAGCGCGTTTCGTAAAACTTATTACATTTTCAAAGACTTTAGTTCACAAATACACAACTGAATAGAACTTACGCATCTCCGATTTTATATCTACATTTGAGTGAGGTGGAAGGGGTGATGTGGCATTAACACAAGACAGAACAAGAGGGAGCATTAATAGGGTATTAATTTCATCAACACAAGACAGAACAAGAGGTGGTATTAATAGGGTATTAATTTCATCAACACAAGACAGAACACGAAACAATGGGTATTGAATAGAAGTGTTTGTAGAAAGCCTATTGGTCCATATTTCTTGATGCTTCTATATTGGAGCGGAGTCTTGAGGTGGGTAGAATATAGTTGTGCATTAATTGGCTGTTGATTGCTGGTGTTGACTTCTTGATGTGTAGTGCCTCGCAAACGTCAAGCCGCCTGCTATCGCTGTATCTATCGATGATTTCTGTGTTGTTTACTAGGATTTCACTGGCGATGGTTTGGTTGTGGGAAGAGATTATATGTTCCTTAATGGAGCCCTGTTGCTTATGCATCGTTAAACGCCTAGAAAGAGATGTTGTTGTCTTGCCTATATACTGGGTTTTTTGGAGCTTACAGTCCCCAAGAGGGCATTTGAAGGCATAGACGACGTTAGTTTCTTTTAAAGCGTTCTGTTTTGTGTCTGGAGAGTTCCTCATGAGTAGGCTGGCCGTTTTTCTGGTTTTATCGTAAATCGTCAGTTGTATCCTCTGATTTCTGTCTGTAGGGATAACGTTTCTATTAACAATATCTTTCAGGACCCTTTCCTCCGTTTTATGAGCTGTGGAAAAGAAGTTCCTGTAAAATAGTCTAATAGGGGGTATAGGTGTTGTGTTAGTTGTCTCTTCAGAGGTTGCATGGCGTTTCACTTTCCTTCTTATGATGTCTTCGACGAAACCATTGGAGAAGCCGTTGTTGACTAGGACCTGCCTTACCCTACAGAGTTCTTCGTCGACTTGCTTCCATTCTGAGCTGTGGCTGAGAGCACGGTCGACATATGCGTTAACAACACTCCTCTTATACCTGTCTGGGCAGTCGCTGTTGGCATTTAGGCACATTCCTATGTTCGTTTCCTTAGTGTAGACTGCAGTGTGGAAACCTCCGCTCTTTTCCATGACTGTTACATCTAGAAAGGGCAGCTTCCCATCCTTTTCCATCTCGTAAGTGAAACGCAACACGGAACTCTGCTCAAATGCCTCCTTCAGCTCCTGCAGATGTCTGACATCAGGTACCTGTGTAAAAATGTCGTCAACATACCTGCAGTATATGGCCGGTTTCAAGCTCATGTCGACTAAGACTTTTTGCTCGATGGTACCCATGTAGAAGTTTGCAAACAGGACACCTAGGGGAGAACCCATGGCGACCCCATCTACTTGCTTATACATGTGCCCATCCGGGCTCAAGAAGGGTGCCTCTTTAGTATAAGCTTGGAGTAGTTTCCTCAGAATATTTTCTGGTATGTCAAGAGGAGTACAGGCTGGATCACGATACACTCTGTCGGCTATCATCCCGATTGTCTCGTCATCCCGACGAGACAATCGGGATGATATCACCCCTTCCACCTCACTCAAATGTAGATATAAAATCGGAGATGCATAAGTTCTATTCAGTTGTGTATTTGTGAACTAAAGTCTTTGAAAATGTAATAAGTTTTACGAAACGCGCTCGTGTCGCGTCAGACTAGAAATAAAAATGAATTTTGGAGAATTGATTTTTGATTTACCTCCAACAGTGAAAAGAAATGTACGAAAGATTGAGAAAATTCGTGTTAGAATTATTAATCTTACTTTTTCGGTCATATTTAATAATATATATATATATATATATATATATATATATATATATAAAATCGGAGATGTAAACAACTCTAGAAAATACTTCTTAAAAAATGTATCTTCTTCTGTTTCATTTATATACTAAATTTGTATCTAAGCTGTTTATTACGAAAATATGTAATATTTCTCTACATCTAAATGGGGAAAAAAACCACTATTTCAGAGTTTATCAAATTATCATAGGAACCAACATTGCTGAAGGGAAGGGGGTGGGGGTGACTATGGCAGACCCCGACCTGTATATGACAGTCACATACCAACCAAGTGTCATCTTGAAAAGTTGATGAAGCTTGCTGCAAGCGTCTGGCTTCCATCCTTGGACAGAGACACATTCTCTTTAATAGAGACAGATATCTAATTCTCTGTACTCACCTAATTGTGCTTGAAAAGGTTGAGCTTCGGCTCCTTTAGCCCGTCTCTAACTGTCAATCAGCAGGTTTACAGGTTCCCGAGCCTATTGGGCCCTATATCATATCTTCATGTGAAACTATTGATGGAGTTTGCCTACAGAACATCACTTCCTAGTGCATTCCATTTGGTTGCTTGTATAACACTGAAAAAATTATTTGGAGTGTCTCTGACATCATTTGGGTACTCGGTTTCCACCTGTGTCGCTTGTGCAAGTATTATCACTATTGCGAAAATAGTCTTTATCTAATATAGGGTCTTCATCTACCCTATCAATTTCCCTGAAAAGTTTGTATGTGGTAATCATGTCTCCTTCCTAACTCTGCAGTCTTCCAGTGCTGCGAGGTTCAATTCATTTAGCCTTTCCTCGGAACTCATACCTCATTTGCCTGTATGCATATACGGGTGTGTGTGTGTGTGTGTGTGTGTGTGTGTGTGTGTGTGTGTGTGTGTGTGTGTGTGTGTGTGTAGCAGAGGTGTAGACTGGCCTGTATACCATACACCCACATCAGCGCCACTACCAGCGACTATACACCATATCAATCATTCTTCAAATCCCAACCCTGACAGCATAAAAAAAAAACTTAAACCCATGCCAACCACGACCAGCTGCAGAATCCCAACACAGTACAATAACTCTTGCATTCAGTATACCATGATGCGCCTTCGGAAAGAATAAATTTGAATGTGGTTCTGAAGCCTTATACATCTGCCTCTGAGAGACCAGAATCCCACCCAACACAAAACGTAAACACAGTGTTATTTTCACCACTGATACTTTCACACAACTTTGAGGCAACGTAATATAGTTAAAGAACGTTGTGGTTTGGTTGTGTGATGGGATACGTGTGGGAGGCATGGCGGGGCTCCGCTCACAGGCATGAGGACAGCTGCTGATACGTGTCATCTTTATACCATGGAATATATGTGGTACTTCAGGCGAACGAGGAATGACTGATGAAATGTGAAGGTGGAGGGTGAGGGTGTTGGGGCTTTCCTGTATGTGTGTTGGTCTATTGTGTCTTTGGGGGACTGGTGGTGGTGGTGGGGGTGTGGTTGAAGGGGTGGTCGTCGTATGCTGTGGTGGTGGTCGTCGTCGTTGTAGTGCTGGTGCAAGTGTGGGTGGTGGTGGTGGTGGTGG